AACCAGATTACATCTACAATAACCGCCCTCTATTCTACTGGCTGGTAGAGTCTGTTCGTGCCACTACTGGGGTGCAGGAGTCGGGGAACCCCGACGCGCCATCGCAGGGAGGCCGAGGCTTGCTGGGGAAGGGTCTGGGACTTACTGCGGGGATGAGAGAGATAGAACCTACTGTGTGGTGGGGGGTCGGGATCTGCTCCATCCTGTGGGTGGCTGCTCTGGATGCCAGGCCAGGGCTGAATAAAATAATATGGAGTTTGGAGTGTATGAAAGATACATATTTTAGTGAACAGAAAATGTTTCATTTACTCATTTACATATTTACTATTTGCATAATGAATATGCAAATGTTGGTCCACTGCAAGTTTGGGTTTTCTGGTCCCCGGTATAAGAAAGGTTCAGAACCACTGTACTTGGGCATTGATTGCTCATCCTTCATTATGAGTGCATTTAAATTTTTCCAGCTTTGACAGCTTGACAGCTTAAAAAAAAATAAGGCCATCCAGCAGCCTAGAAGCTTGTTTACATGAACGTGTAGTTTGCTTGAGTGCAAATGTATACTGACTGCACCACTCTGCAGTGCACTGTATTTGTGTGGGTCCTGCTGTACACAGAAGAAATCATCACAGCAGAAAGCTCCATTTTGTCCCTTAGCTCCTTTTTCCTGTTTATCTTGTGAGACAGAGTAGAATTTATTTTTCCTAAGGGTATTTTTAAAATTCTTGTTAAATATTTTGAGACTAGAAAGAAAAACAAAACAATGGAACATGAACCAGTTTACTGATAGTTTGCCTCCAATTCTAGTGTCTACAGCAGTGTTTTCCAATTTTATTTGGCCATGGAACCCTTTTAAACTCATAAGAATTTTGCGGAGCCCTAATAACAGTGTTATATATGGAGCTGAAAAAGTAGACCACAAATAAGTAAGGATAATAATAAACAAATGATAAACAAGGTCACGAGATCAACATTTAGTTTAATTGCACATCATTTTTTAAAAAAATCATAAAATGTTATTGTAAAGGAATTTTCTCGCTGAACCCTTATTTTCTCTTCGCGGAGCCCCGGGGTTCCATGGAACACCATTTGGGAAACACTGATCTACAGATACAGCTGAATTCTGCTCACAATTTGCAAAAGCCACACTTGTCACTGTATTTTCATAGCCAAAAAGACAAAGCACTGTCGAGAAAATTTGTGCACTTATACAGTACTTTTTGGTAGGTGCTGAATAGCAGTAAGAGTGAAGCAAGTTGAAGGTACAATTAATGTCAGAAAGCTATCTAAAATAGATGTTAGGAGTTATTCTTAGTACAGTATTACAAAATCCGTTTAGAAAGTAAATTCTGAAAATGGGACAAGGTAAATAATATTATTGATTAAGCATTATCAAAAGTAAATAATGTTTCTAAAGATATAAAACATTTTCAAAAATATTTGTGCCACAATGATTTTGTGTAGTACAAACTCTGCTGACAGTATAAGGCCATTGCAGTGTTGCTGTGACTGGAAGAGTTCCCTTTCTTTAGTAGTGGCAAATTAATGTATTCTTGTAACTTAAATTTGTTTTTGTTCTTATAAAATAAATAAAAGCTGCCCCTTTGAAAGTGCCTAGTGCACTTCCAATACTAACACAGTATAAACAAAAATCTAATTCCCTTGCTCTGTCTGTACCCCTATAAATACTGATTCTTATTTGAGAACTGAGGTATTCTGCCAATTTGCAGGGTGGGGGCCATAGAATATGTATGTTGGTAAAACTTTGTATATAAAAAAATACAGTATAACCTCAGACTTATGAACTAACCAGTCAACCATTTACCTCATTTGGAACCAGAAGTACAGGCAGTCCCCGGGTTACGTACAAGATAGGGACTGTAGGTTTGTTCTTAAGTTGAATCTGTATGTAAGTCGGAACTGGCGTCCAGATTCAGACACTGCTGAAACTGACCGTCAGTTCTGACTTACATACAGAATCAACTTAAGAACCCCAGGCGTCCCCAAGTCAGCTGCTGCTGAAACTGATCAGCAGCTGATTCCAGGAAGCCCGGGGCAGAGCAACTACAAGATAGGGACTGTAGGTTTGTTCTTAAGTTGAATCTGTATGTAAGTCGGAACTGGCGTCCAGATTCAGACACTGCTGAAACTGACCGTCAGTTCTGACTTACATACAGAATCAACTTAAGAACCCCAGGCGTCCCCAAGTCAGCTGCTGCTGAAACTGATCAGCAGCTGATTCCAGGAAGCCCGGGGCAGAGCAACTCTGCCTAGGGCTTCCTGTAGTCAGCGCTGGTCAGTTTCAGCAGCGGGTGACTTGGGGACTCCTGGGGCAGAGCAGCTGGGGTGCTGCTGGGTTGCTCCAGTAGCGCCCAGAGCGGCGCTGCGGGACCAACCGGCAGTGCCCCAGCTGCTCTGCCACAGGCGTCCAGAGAAAAGCCTAGTCTGCTGGGGGGGGGAGGCGTACTAGCTGCGCCCCCCCCACCCCAGCAGACCAGGGAGACGC